CCCAAACACATCTGGGACTGGCACGCCTGCCACCGACACTACCACAGTATGGAGGTGTTCGCCCACTTCGACATACTGGACAGTCGTGGCAAACGCGTGGCTGAGGGACATAAGGCTAGCTTTTGCCTCGAGGACAACAACTGCAAAGACAACAGCACTAGAAAGTATGCCTGCGCCAACTACGGTGACCAGGGTATAAGTGTGGGCTGTGGTAAGTGAACAGTGCGAGTGTTTCACTTACGGTTTGATTAATTGGTTTCTTTGCCTCAAAACGCGTTCAACAAAACCCCCGGACAGTCGACACCTATTTATATAACATAGACTGTCAGTGGATTGACATCACAGATATATCTCCCGGCGTGTATCAGCTCAAGGTATGGTGTTGTGCCGTATGGTTAGTACATGTGTTATATGTCTAGCAAAAACAATTTTTTGTTATTCAGGTGTCCATTAATCCTGAGTTTAAAGTATCGGAACTGAGTTTTGACAATAACGCCGCCCTTTGCACCTTCTACTACAACCAATATATGGGACGGGTGTACAACTGTACCCTCACCCGGCCCTAATTTGGCATTACATAAACTGCCAGCAAGTCTATAGACTATAGTATTGATGATACAGTATTAAATGTAGCAGGAAATTAGTTATTAATAAGTAATTAATTTTAAGTTTAATTTATACTGTATTACAAATTCACAAAGTGGCTCGAAACAGTCATATTTTATGAACAAGTTAATTATTAATAGTTTTTAATTTTCTTTGTTATGCCATAAACTTATTCATTGGATACTTTATTTATTGAATAGGTATTCACTCAATCCATATAAAATAATATTTTGTATTTCACTAATTATACTTATATTACTGCACTTCTTTAAAGGGTTATTAATATTTTGTGTAATACTTGATAAACAGAATATTTGACATAAATTTCATATAAAATTTGTATAAATGTCTTTAAAACACATTAAAATTATTATAATTTCCGATTTTGCATGTTATGGCATTTATGCAAATGTTATTTAATGATACTTTTAGTATATTTATTTCATTGTTTAGTCTGATGTCAATATATCATAAAATGAATGCATAATTTAATGAGTTTAAACTTTTTTTAATGAAATTATATTATAAAATAAC